TTGTATCAGGGATCAAACTCAGAACCTTGCATTTACAAGGCAGGTGGTGGCACCACTGAGCTAAATCCCCAGCCCCCTTCCCCCTCTTTTTTTTTTTTTTTAACACTTATTTTTTTGCTACCAGGGATTGAACTCAGGTCCTTGTGCTTATGAGGTAGGTGTGGTACCACCGAGCTAAATCCCTGGCCCTCCCTTCCCCCTCTTTTGTTCCTCTTCTCATTTGAATATTTTCTTTCTATTTCCCTAAACACCTACTCTTACCTTATTTTACCCTTTTTTCCTCGGGGCACTTATTTTCTGATGTGCTAAACAATTTACATGTTTCTGATATTTATATTATTTGTCTTCACCAGAACAGTGGTTTCAAAGTGTGCTCACCATTTAAAGAGGTTTCTGCAGATACCTCAGAGTGCTTTAATTGCTTGATTTAACTGCTAAGTGCCCATAATCATGATTTGTAGTTTGGGTTTTATAGTACTGGAAGATATTTCTCAGTATATCAGAATGTGGTATGTGATAAAATTATTGACAATTTTCCACTTTAGTTCACTTAAATTTCAGTATCTCTACATAAGATCCCCATATTTTGTGAGCCAGAAAAAAAATCATCACTGGAGGACTGTATGCAACAGGCTGTAGAATTTTAATTATTCCAATTCTTGTTTATACTCCTTTAATTTTGTTTTTGTTCCTGGGTCTACCTAAGGATTTGCTTTTGAAAACAGTGGTAGGGGCCTGAGGATAAAGCTTCGTGGTAGAACACTTGCCTGGCAGAAGCAGAAGACCCTGGGTTCCACTCCTAACATCACTTAAAAATAAAAAACAACTAGCTTCTGGTTATTAAAACCTTCTATTATAACTAGTACTGTATTTTTTGGTACCTGGGATCGAACTTGGGTCCTTGTGCTTGCAAAGCAGGCGGTGGAACCACTGAGCTAAATCCCCGGCCCAGTCTGATGGTTTTAACCTGTGTGGAGATCAAGTTGTTAGTGCAAAGTCAGGCTGCTGGTTACAGGAATGTCCACAGTGGGGCGCCAAAAGCAAATGAACCACATGTCTTTAAGATCCTGGTCTAACTGTTGTTACACAGTGTTCATGGGCCCAGCTAGAGGAGTCATTCTTAGGCTGGCAATTTGACCCCCCCAAAAGGAATCAAGTGCCAGTCACCGAGTGGAATGCTGAGGTAGGCTTTCTCTAGCTCTGTGTTTCAAAGCTGGCTTTTTTCCATTTTATTTCATGCCTGGGAGATGTGGTCAAGACCATCTACCCAGATTACCAAAAGAGGCAGTCTCAGTGAGTCCCCCCAACATGAGACATTTGGGCGGTCATGGGGCTCAGGGATTGTAGTTCTGGAGTGGTTTATTCGTGTTTCTAATGCCCATTCTACCCTAGGCAGCACTGCTGTTTTGTGTTGATTGTAGCATTAATTCTAAATAACATGTTTGCCTGTTGCTAAAGACTACATCCTGCGAGTGCAGAAACCCCCTCAGTTGTGTTTTATAATGCACAGAAACATTGTCAGGAGGCTTGTCTCCTAGGACCAGCGTTGCCACACATTCACTCCTCATGAGGCACCGAGCTTCTCTAGGCTCTAGTTTCTACAGCAGCAAAATGAGAAGATTTGGCTGTTATCAGTGGTGTTGAACCTGTGGCACACATGCCACCCAAAGCCGGCTGTTTGTATCATCGAAAGCTCTGAAAGGTTTGCCATCACTAAACTAGATCATCTTTGTGGTTCCTTCCATCTCCAAGGAACCATGTTCCTTGGTTTCTAAGTCTAGAGAAAAAAGGCAGCTATTGATCCCTTTCAGTTGAATAGAGGTCAGTTTGGGGGTTTTTTGTTGTTTGGTTTGGTTTGGTTTTTTGAGGCAGGATCTCCCTGTATAGATCAGGCTGGCCTTGAATTTGTGGCAGTCCTCCTGCCTCAGCCTCCCAAGTGCTGGGATTACAGTCCTGTGCCACCACCCCAGGCTATGAGATCAGTCTCTTTGGAAGCTTGATAAATATTTGCCTTCCTGGCTTTATCATCAGAAGGAATGATTTCAAAGGTGGTTTTTTGTTTTAATCCTAGGAATCCGTAAAGGATCTCATAAATGTGAACATTTTCAAGTTATTTTTTTAAAAAGCATATTTCTTTTTAAAGTATATAAGCTGTAGAGTATGCATAGAAGGAAGTGTGTGTGTGTGTGTGTGTGTGTGTGTGAGAGAGAGAGAGAGAGAGAGAATATGATCTCATAAATGTGAACATTTTCAAGTTATTTTTTTAAAAAGCATATTTCTTTTTAAAGTATATAAGCTGTAGAGTATGCATAGAAGGAAGTGTGTGTGTGTGTGTGTGTGTGTGTGTGAGAGAGAGAGAGAGAGAGAGAGAGAGAGAGATTAGGTAAAAAGTAGAATATTCCAACTCCAAAAAGACAGACTAAAATAATTACATGGGGAAGTCAGTGAAAGATACAGCTACTGTCCTTCAGTCATTCTAGAATTTATGTATTGAGAATTATAGATTCTTCATACTATTAACAATGGAAGAATGAAAGAGGAGACCTTAGAACTAAATTGTAGAAAAATGTGAGCTAGGAAGGGAATTCATACATTTGTACAGTGCTGCTTCATTCTGACTGGCATGGGTCAGGCGTAGGTGTGCTTGAGTTTGGAGACTCACCATTTCACAGTGATGACGATACTGAGGACTTCTGTGACAGCTTATTATAAAATGATACAGTAGCTGTAACATTTGTAAGAGGTGTAAGAGTCTAGAAGCTGTGGAGGGGCTTGATATCTAGTTGAGAATAAACACATCCAAAATGATTGTGATCACTTGAAAAGCAGAAGGCAACTGACATATGAAATGCTGTTGTGATTAAAAGTGAATCCATGTAAAGATTTAGTAACTTTGCATCTTACATGGGGTTAGGTTCAAAAGTTGGGGCTTAACATGAAAATCAGGGTAGACAAAATTATCCACAAATATCTTAGGACAGCTTGGGATGTAGCTCAGTGGTAAAGCACTTGCCTAGCGCATTTAAGTCCTGGGTTCAATTCCCAAGGCCACAAAAACAAAACAAAAATCTCAGCTCATCTGTCTTCTTTGGCATCAGAAAAGATTGCTCTTCCCTCAGTAGATAGAAGTGCTGGCTTATAATTAGGCATCACATGTGAAGCTATGTGAAAAGCACATAGCTTTGAAAGGCCCTGTTCCTGTTTGTGCTACAGCATGGATGAACCTTGAAGTATGCTAAGTGAAATCAGCCAAACACACAGAATAAATATGTGATCTTACTTATATGGTGTATCTAGAGTAGTAAAATTCGTAGACTAGGTTAGGGCGTTTAGTGGCTATGGGGTTTCAATTTTAAATGAACAACTTCTGGAATTGAATCCTGGTAATGATTTCATAGCAGTGTGCATGTACTTAATGCCACTGAACTGTATTCTTTAAAATGGGCAAAATGGTAACTTGTGTTCTTTTTCTTTTGTTTTGTTTTTGGTACTGGGGATCGAACTCGGGCCCTTGTGCTTGCGAGGCAGTTGGTGGCACCACTGAGCTAAATCCCCAGCCCTGTTATGTATTCTTTGCCAAAATTAAAAATAACAGATGAAGCCGGGCATGGTGGTGCACGCCTGTAATCCCAGCACTTGGGAGGCTGAGGCAGGAGGATCGCTGTGAGTTCGAGACCAGCCTGGGATACATAGTGAGTTCCAGGTCAGTCTCAACTACATAGTGAGACCCTGTCTCAAAAAACCAAAAAAATAAAAACAGATGAAAGACTGTATCCCCAGACTGTGAAAGTAATTACCAAAGGATGGGAGTTCAAAAAACATTATAAGCAATGGTAATTTTGTGCTAAGAAGTAGTTTATGTGTATGTAGGTTTCTAGGAATACCATTCATTTGAATATGTGTGCATGTGTATGTGTGTGTGTGTGTGTGTGTGTGTGTGTGTGTGTACACACATTTTAAATTAAGTTCATAAATGGGGCTAATTTCTGCTTGATAGATGTGAAGGGGTGATCTACTTTCTACTCCTAGTTAGCTGAGGCAGCTGTTGGTTATAGCTGAGGAAGGAGGTCAGATCTCAGAGCTCTCTCCTAACACTGATGTTTTTCCCCTATTATCAGTCTTTTAATTTTGTTATTTATATTTTCTCACCTAAGAGAAAACATGTGATGTATAAGCTTGCATGCCTGATTTATTTCACTTCACATTACAGTCTTACAGTGCATCCATTTTCCTACAAATTACTGAAGTTTATCCTTCTTAATAACAGAATAGTACTCCATTGTATTTAAATATATTTTCTTTATTCATTCATCCATTGATGGGCATATAAGCCACTTCCAAGATTTTGCTATAGTGAATTATGCTGATATGAACATGAGTATTTATGTATTACCACTGTAATAGGATGTCTTTAATTCTTTTGGGAAGATACCCGAAAGGGAAATAGTTGGGTCTCATACAGATGTTTACCAGGTGACAACATTCAAAATACTTTCATAACTTTTGCCACATTCAGTGCCATTTTTACTGTTAATCATTTCTCTGTAAATGTAAATGTTTCATGTAAAACATTTACTTAATATGTAAAGTTACTTAGATACTTACTTTAAATAGAAAACTTCATATTCCAAATGATGAGAAAAAATACAGTGATGGCAAATTTTTACTTCTCTGCGTAGATGTTACTGCTTTAAGGCTGAAGCCTGTTCTGTTTTGTTAAAAAAGGAGATTAGGTATTAAACGCAGCACCAAAATGGCATGGGAAGAGCTAAAAGAGAACTGAAAGGAAAATGAGTCTGATTGTGTGCAAATCATCACCCACACCCCCACGGGGGAGAGACTAGCACCATGGCAGCAAGCAGAGGAGGTGGATTTTGAGTTTGTTTAGCAGAAGGCAGTGACTGAGGGTTAATATAGAAGTGACTCACTGTGGGGGCGAAAGTGGGAACAGATTTCAGGGAACCAGTATTGGTAAATGCCCTGACTGAAGCAAGTGTGCCTGGCTGGTCCCTCGGTTAGGATGAGGTATTAGAAAAGGTTAAGAATGATTAAGTTAGACCTGTAGTGCTTCTTAATTGCTATATTATTGGCTTTGGAAATAAATAATTGCTGCACAGGACCATTCCAAGCCTGAGTGTGCTTGTTCTCTAGGTCCTAGGTGCAGTAATGCGCTCCTCCAGTCTTTGTGATAGAGAAGCCCTGTGCATTTCCAAGCGCCTTTTAGGGATTGTTACTGTCGCAGCCGAGGAGGAGTGCTCTCCTAGGCAGAGGGAATGGTGTCTACAAGTGTATGGAAGCAGTAATGAGTGAAACTTGTCTGTCTTTTGTAGAGGAGAAGAAGAAGTTGATCAGAGATTTTGATGAAAAGCAGCAGGAAGCAAATGAAACGGTAAGAACAGGGATCACATCCTTATTTCTTCTACTTGGTAATGGTCTTTCCAGAAGAAATGCTGTGACCTAATTGCAGATTAACTGTTCCTGACTGTTGATCCAGATTTTTAAACTATATCTTGCTAAATGAGGTCAGCAGACAGTGTTGAGGAATTTTGACAAACAAATGGGTAAAGCTAGATGACATGTCTATTCTTTCTTTTAAAATTTCTATTGTTACTGGTACATGTTTGCAGTACATAGTGATTATATTCCTCATGGGGAGTTGGTACATGTACATAACAGGTCTTAATTTTTTTTTCCAATCCCTTTCCCCTCCCCACCACCCTCTCTTTGTTTCTTGGTCTCCTTCCTTTTTGTTCAATATCTAACTCCCTATTTCCTATTATCTACCTTTTATTTTGGTCCTTATTTATATTTTGAGTTTCTCATATAAGAGAAACCATGTACTACTTAACCTTGTGTGACTGTAATGTATTCTTGTTGTAGTAAGGACATTTTTTCGCACCTGTACCCAAGTGGTCTTTGTAAGTACTGGCCCTGAAGATAGGTTACTGTTTTTTTTTATTAAACTTCCTATCACAGAAAATGTAGCTCAGAGTGGGTTCTAGCCATGTTCCTGTCTAATGAGACAGTGAAGTGGCTGGACTTGGCTTCTTGGGCAAGATTTGTAAGAACAGGGTAGATTGTCCCATGGGGACCTGAAGACCGACAGAAGTTAGTCCTGGCTAATGACCAGTTTAAGAATGGCTTCTCTTCACCTGTGGGTTTTGTTTTACAAATTCTTTTGGCACTAACCCTTTGAAAGCCAGTGTCCTTTTGGCTCTGTCTCATGTTCTGACTTCACCAAACCATTGTAGATTGGAGCTAAAGTCCGGATCCTTGGTAATTCTCTGCAGAAATAATTGCCTCTAGTTTTTGGTCCATGGAACAAATTAGAGAAAAATTCCTTTGAGACGAGGAATTCCTTCTTTGTTGAAGATCAGTCTCACCATTATCCCAATAAAATTCTGAAATCTAAGTCTATCTGCATCTTTTTCTGTATTCTATATTATTTTAATGAGAACCAGGCCCTTCAACTTTGGAAAATCTCTCTTTCATAATAAGTGTACCAGACTTTTTTTTTTTTGAGACAGGGTCTTGCCATATAGCTCAGACTAGCCTTGGACTAACTGTGTAGCCCCATAGACAGTTTTCTTTTTCTTTTTCTTTCTTTCTTTCTTTTTTTTTTTTTTTTGGTTTTTTGAGACAGGGTCTCGCTATGTAGTTGAGACTGACCTGGAACTCACTATGTAACCCAGGCTGGTCACGAACTCACAGAGATCCTCCTGTCTCAGCCTCCCAAGTGCTGAGACAAAGATTACAGGCATGTGCCACCACACCTGGCTTTCTGAGTTGATACCTTGATAGCATTTTTAAAATCTAGCCACTACCAGTCTGTTTGGTATTTGTTCAGATACTTTTTTTTCTGAATTTAGCAACATTAGCAGTCTACTCTGGCCATCCCAGGAAGATTAAAATTTAATTTAGGAACTCTTATGACATGTCTGGGACTTTTTATTTTATTTATCCCAGAACAATGGAAGTCTGATTTCCTAAAGCAGGCTTCTCCAAGGTAGCTCAGTGGTGCCAGTGCAAGGTCCCGAGTTCGATCCGTGGTACTGGAAAGAAAAAAAAAGCAGGCTGCTCTGGGAGCATCATCTCTGACCATGGAGGCAAATAGAGTTTTCAGAAACAGGAGAAAAAGACGAACTCTGGTGCCAGACCCCAATCATTTTTAGTACAGTAGACTTCAGTGTGCTTCTTGACAGCACTGTGTAACCATAGCAGGCTAAAAACTTGATACGTTGAGTTGAGAATTTGAAGATTTTGAACCCATGACTGTTTTTATGATATAATCCTGAGATTTGTTATATATAAATGGAGAGAGTATAGAATGTACATAAAAATATTCTATAGCTATAAGGAGCTTCTGTTAGCTTTTCATTCACACATCTGTATTTTTGATGCCTGCTCTATGCATGCTAAGATACTACGCCACGCACTTGGCGAGAACATGGCAGTCGCCTCATGGAGCATATGGTTCAGTGTTAGTTAGGGTAGCCCGGTTTGATGAGTCCAAACTAGGTATATCCCCAGGTGAGAAGGAAAGAACCACGCCACCTACTCATTTCTGCCTTTGCAGCTAGCAGAGATGGAGGAGGAACTACGGTATGCACCCCTGTCTTTCCGTAACCCCATGATGTCTAAGCTGCGAAACTACCGGAAGGACCTTGCCAAACTGCATCGGGAGGTGAGAAGCACACCTTTGACAGCCATCCCTGGGGGCCGAGGAGACATGAAGTACGGCACATATGCTGTGGAGAATGAGCATATGGTAAGTGTCCGCCTTTTCTTTTTCCTTAAGGGCTGGCAGTACAAGAATTAAACATTTTGGGCTATGGATGTAGCTCAGTGGTGCTGCACCTGCCTAGCAAGCTCAAGGTTCTGAGTTCAATTCCTGGTACCGGGAAGGAAAAAAAGAATTAAACATTTTATAGTTCACATAAGTGCATACTGGATTCTTGGCATTTTGTCTTACCCTTTTCTTCTTTCCTGTGTCCAGTTCCCCTTCTCACCCCTCTGGCACTTGTTATTGTTAAAGCATATCTTTCTGGATCATGTGCTTATATTTGTGTGTCTAGCAGTGTATGTTAGCTATTCTTATCTGGACCTGTATTCTGATCTGTTGATCTGGTTTCTTTTTTTTTTTTTTTTATTGAGTTTATTGGTACATTTAGGGATACAGTACAGTTACATTCATTGTTGGGATCACGTACCTTTACATGGCAAGTCTTGATTCTCATTTTTTTCCACTTACCTCTGCCCTCCCTTCACCTCCTCCTCCCCTCCCCATCTACAAACACTTTATTTTCATCTTTTCATTCTCTCACATTTTTTTCTTTTCCCTTTTTGTTCTTCCCCTACGTATCACACCTTCCCTACACCTTTAGCTCCTTTACTCCCATTTCTAAATGTCAGTAACCTTATTAGAATCTTATGCATTGTTGCAGAATATTCACACCAGGGAAACTATTTGGTATTTACACATGTGGGACTTATTTATTTCACTTAGGAGTATATCTTCAATATGTATCCATTTTCCTATGAATGAATCTATTCTCTCGCTCTTTATGGCTGAGTAATATTCCATTTTATAGAAAAACCACAACTTCTTTATCCAGTTTCCAACGGATGGGCAAATAGGTTGTTTCCAAGATTTAGCTATTACAAACTGTGCCGCTATAAACATGGGTGCACATACTTCTCTGTGATATGATTCTTTTAGTTCTCTTGGAAAGATACCCAACAGAGGGATGGCTGGGTCAAATGGAACCTCCAGTCCAAGCTCTTTGAGGTATCTCCATATTGATTTCCATAGTGGTTGCACTAGTCTGCACTCCCACCAACAATGGAGGAGGGTTCCTTTCTCCCCACAACCCCGCCAACATTTGTTATTGTGTGATTTCTTGATAGCAGCCATTCTTTGTGGGGTGAGGTGGAATCTCAGTGTTGTTTTCATCTGCATCTCTCGAATGACCAGTGATGTGGAACATTTTTTCATATATTTTCTTGCTGCTTTCACTTCTTTGTATGAGAAATGTCTGTTCATTTCGGATGCCCATTTTTGGATCGGGTCTTTATATTTGGGGGGACTGATTGTTTTGAGTTCTTTATATATCCTTGATAATAGTCCTTTGTCTGAGGTACAGCTGGTAAAAATTTTTTCCCACATTGTAGATTGTCTCTTAGTTCTGCTAATGGTTTCTTTTGAAGTACAGAAGCTTTTTAGTAAGATGAGATCCCAGTTGTTGATTCTTTCTGCTAGTTCCCGTGCTACTGAGGATTTGTTCATAAAGTCTTTTCCTATACCAATGTCTTCCAGAGTTCTGCCTAACTTACTTTCCAGCAAGTTTAATGTTTCTGTTTTAATATTTAGATCTTTAATCCATTTGGATTTTAATTTAGTGCATGGCGAAAGATAAGGGTCTAATTTTAATCTGTGGCAGGTTGATATCCAGTTTTTCCAACACCATTTATTAAAGAGGCTATCTTTCCTCCACTGAGGATGGTGAGCTCCTTTGTCGAAGATGAGGTAGCTGAGTACATCTGCATTTGTTTTTGTGTCTTCCAGTCTGTTCCATTGATCCTCAGGCCTATTTCTTTGCCAGTACCATGCTGATTTTATCACAGTGGCTTTGTAGTATAGTTTCAAATTGGGAATTGTTACACCTGGTGCCATGTGACTGTTGCCTATAATGGCTTTTGCTATTCTAGGTCTCTTGTGGTTCCAAATGAATTTTTGGATTCTTTTTTCTAGTTCTGTGAAATATAGTGTTGGAATTTCAATTGGCATTGCATTGAATGTATATAGCAGTTTCGGTAGTATGGCCATTTTCACTATGTTGATTCTTCCTACCCAGGAGCAGGGGATATCTTTCCATTTTTTTATATCCTCTTCGATTTCTTTTTTCAGAGTGCTGTAGTTTTCAGTGTAGAGATCTTTTGTTTCTTTTGTTAGATTGATTCCTAGATACTTCATTTTTTTGGATGCTATTGTAAAAGGAATTTTTTCCCTTATTTCTCTTTCTGTCTGTCTGTTATTTGTGTATAGAAAGGCTATTGATTTTTGGGTATTCACCTTGTATCCAGATACTTTACTGAATCTGTCAATTAAGTCTAGAAGTTTTTTGGTGGAGTTTTTTGGATCTTCAATGTAGAGTATCATATCATCAGCAAATAATGATAGTTTAACTTCTTCCTTTCCTATCTTTATTGCTTTAATTTCTTTCTCTTGTCTAATTGCTGTGGCTAATGTTTCCAGAACTATATTGAAGAGAAGTGGCGATAGTGGGCATCCTTGTCTTGTTCCTGATTTTAACATGAAGGTTTTCAGTTTTTGGCCATTCAATATGATGTTGGCTGATGGTTTTTCATAAATAGCCTTTATTAAATTGAGGTATAGACCATCTATTCCAATTTTTTGCAGGGTTTTTATCATGAATGGGTGTTGAATTTTATCAAATGCTTTTTCTGCATCTATTGAGAGGATCATATGGTTTTTGTCCTTGACTTTGTTAATATAATGTATTACATTCACTGACTTTCGTATGTTGAACCACCCTTGCATCTCTGGAATAAATCCGACTTGGTCATGATGGATGATCTTCTTAATAATCCTCTGTATTCTGTTTGCTAGTATCTTATTAAGGATTTTTGCATCTATATTCATTAAGGAGATTGGTCTGTAGTTCTCCTTTTTGGTTGTATCTTTCTCTGGTTTGGGAATCAGAGTGATACTTGCTTGTTGATCTGGTTTCTTCTTGAGCTTTTATTTCATATAAATTTTAGAATTAGTTTTTCAACTATGCCCTCAAAATTTGGGTTTTCAATTTATCAGAGTATTGTTACAAAATTATTCCAAGCTATTCTTACTTTAATGTCAAGACGGCCTGGTAACTGATTCAGGGTGCTTCTTGAGAAAGGGCCTTCCTTCTATTCTGTTATAAAGGGAAATGAGCCAGGTTGACTCTAGCCTTCAGGATTCAGATTTACAAAATTCTGCTACTTAAAAATCCATATCCTGAAACCATCTAGAGAAGTCAGATAATTCAAGGAATAAAATAAAACATCGCCCCTATAATACCATCTACTCAGGAGGCTGAGTCAGGAGGAATGATGCCAGGCCAGGCAACCTAGACCCTGTCTCAAAAAAACAAAAAAAAGTGAGCTAAAATTATGCCATGGCCTGCATGGCTAAAGGGTTCACGGAGAAATGATGGTAAGAGATTTAAGACAGACAAAGAGATATAATAAGGTATAGATGGGGTCATGTGGGGCTCTAACTCTTGATGGGAGCAAAAGACCACCAAGCAAATGGCCATGCATTTATAGTGGTAGAGGTACGGGAAGTGCAGCAGGAGGTAGAAGGGGCTGGCTGATTAGCACTGGGAGAGCAGCTAGCGTCTGCAGTAGATAATGCTTGCTATTTCTCTGGTGAATGGGTGGGAAGGAAGATAGTCCTCTTCTAGGTCAGGCCTTGCTCCGCCACACCCTCTTGTCACCTGTTCTCCCATGGGGCCCTGCCTCATCCACGGGAGGAGGTGAGTTAGGCCTGGCCATAGTCATGTACCATAGTAGATGGTATTATAGGGCGCGCAGTGCTCCCAGCAAAAATAAATCTGTCCATAAATGAATGAGTCAATCAGTCAATCAGTGGCTTTGAATATAGCTCAAGTGGTAAGAGTGCCCCTTAATTCTATCCCCAGTACCACCAAAGAAATGCAAAGATTAAATTGAATGTGCTGCATTAGGATTATATCCAGAAATATAGTATAAAGTAAAAACTGCCTGCCAAAGTCAGGTGTAAGAGAAATAGAAGGGGGCCTGCCACCAAGGTAGACCGAACTTAGTAGAATGGCATTAGTAGTACTAAAACTTTAAACAAATCCTGTTTCATGTTGCATCCTAATTGTAGTATAAGAGACATTCAGAATGATACTTGCTTGACATTGCTGATGTCGAACACATTTGAGCCTGGTGTAAAACCCAAACAGACACAGGAGACTGTCATAGATTGGAGTCTCACAAGGAGACTGGAAGAAGACCGATAGAGCTTGTTTGATGGGAGCTGTAAAAGTGAGTTGACCAAAAAATGGAGAGGAGAAAATTATTAGTTTTTACTGATGCAGGGGTATACACCTGTAATCTTAAGCTAGTCAGGAGGCTGAGGCAACAGGAGCACGAGTTCAAGACCAGCCTGAGCAATTAGGAAAGATTTGAGATTTTAAAAAAAAGAAGCAAACATTAGTTTGTGTTGTTTTTGTTTTTCTTTGAGACAGGGTCTCAGTATGCTGTCCAGGCTGGCCCCGAACTCCTGGGCTCAAACAGATGCCCTGAGAGCTGGACAAACCATCTCGCCCGGCTCCATGAGTCGTACTTTAGGTGTCATGTTCCACCTTCAGTGGAATTATTGTTCCGCGTCTGTCTGAGGTTGATATATGTGATGCCATTATCTTTTCCTGCTCTTTTGTTAGCCCAATCGTTTGAAATTCTGTGTATATTTTATTTTTTAAAAAGTCTTTTTGTTGACTTCTTTTAAGCTAACATAACTGGGTTTGAATATCATTCAGTAGTTTCCTCATCCACTGATCTGTGTGCCATTTATTTATTTTTATTTTATTTATGTATTTGAGACAGGGTCTGTTTTGTAGTTCATGCTGGCCTTGAATTCACTATGTAGCCCAGGCTGGCCTCCCAAGTGCTGGGATCACAGGCTTGCACCACCACACCCAGCTTTGTGTGCCATTTATTAAATGAAAATACATCTTGTGGCTTCTTGATGTCCTGCTGCCATTAGTCACCTGCTTTGTAAATAAGCCTCTGTGAGCTAGGTCCCTTTTGTGTGTGCTTAGATCAACAGTGTGGAAGTGTGTGTGTGTGTCTGTCTGTCTGTCCGTCCAGAGGTGAAATTCTTTAGGAAGCACACCAGAAGTACAGCCATGTTTTTTTTCCAGAATGTGACCATGTCTCAGATTTTTAAATTTTTTATGTGCTGAAAAAATAATCTAGTCATAGGGCCGGGGATTTGGCTCAGTGGTTTTGCCACCTGCCTCACAAGCACAAGGACTCGAGTTCGATACCTGGTACCAAAAAAAAAAAAAAAAAAAAAAAGTTTTACAGTTGTCTAAG